GCCCTCTGGACATTGCTGTGTCCAGTTCCCTCTGGATATTTCTGTGTCCAGTGCCTCCTGGATATTTCCACCCTGCCCATTCTCTGGGAGGAAAGGGCTGAGTGTGTTTTAGCTGGAGGAGCTGAGGAGCAGTGGAAGCTGCCCAAGGATGTGTCAGCCACCAGCGGAGAGGAAATCCTGCTGGAGTTGGGCTTGTGCTCTCCTGGCTTTCCTTTGGAGTGACAGGCTCAGGTTTTACCCCTTTGCCATCAGTTAAAGGGATGAGTTTGATTGAAGGTGGGAGGAGAGAGGGGATGTTGGATGACCACATCCCAAGGTGCTGGCAGCGTTTGAGGGCCCATGAAATGGAAATCTCTGCAGTTCCTGAGTGCTCCATTCCAGCAGGACAGAACATGGCTGCTGGAACACAGGCAGGTTAGCCAGCCTGCCTTTCAATTGCTGGAGTTCCTGTTGGGATCTATTGGATTTCCTGTAATCTTTAATTATAAGGTGTAATTACTTTAGGATGGATTATCAATGCTGGTGTCCATCTGCGGGAGTTGCTTGGTAACGTCCCTGGAGCTGCAGCTCCTCCTGCTCTGCACTTCCAGGCTTTTAGAGGCAGCCAGAGGAAGGCTCTGGATATCAGTGTCTGCCTAAATGGAACATCTCCACGCACTGGAGTGAGCACACAGCCTTTTTGTTATCATTTTGCTGTTACATAAAAGCATTACCGGGGACACGGGCCCAGAGAAGTAACCTGAGAAGTTGCTCAGCTTTCTATTAAAGGTTTTCAAATGAATTCCAGCCTTTTTATAGCATTCTGCCCTGCTGTTTGCCTGGATATTTATATCTCCATGTGATAATACTAAAGGCAGCAACACAAAGTAAACATGATGCTGTTTCATTACCTTTTCTGCAGATCCTGAATTATACAGGTTTATGCAAGTCTGATAAGGGAAAAATGCATCCATTATTCCAAACAGAAATGAGTTATCCCAATGTATTCAGGCAGACTTCTTCCTACAAGACTGACAGTTCCTCTTTTTCTTTTCTTTCTTTTCATCTGGCAAATTATGTTTTATACAGCAGGAGAAAATAAATGGCATTATTGCAGCTTAAAGAGCCAAAGTGGCACAGAGCTACTGTGGGGCAGCAAGGAGGTTAAAAGTGGGAAAGAACTGGTCCTGCTTTGGAAACTGTCAGCACAAATAATCTGCTTCCAGCTGCAGGAAAAGGAAGAGAGGTGGGGAAAAAACAAGTTAGGAATACAATAGGGAAATAAATATTAAAATTACACTCACCCCCCTGCCCTCCTTTTTTTTTTTTTTTTAAACTCAAACTGGAAATTTCTTTGATATTTTATAGGGAAATGTTTGAAGGGAAGTTGAAGGAAGGAGGCAAAAGAGCCACGGAAGTGGTTATCTTGTGAAGATAATGGCTTTGTGTAATGTTCCTTGGAAGTGCTTGAAAGGGGTTGATTGGTTGGTATATTTAGATTTCATCTTTTAAGCATTTACTAATTATCCCAGTCTAGATGGATAAAACTAATCAAATAGCTGTTTGGGAATGCTCTGCTTTGGAAATCTTCCCTGTTAACAAAAGGAGGGCAAGTGATGGTGGGGGGAGCTTTTTCTTCTTTTCTTCCCCTCTCATCTCTCTGCTTTTTGCAAGTCCATAAACCCAGAGATTTGGAGTGGTTCAGTTGTTAAATGTGCTAAAGATTTGCACATCTCTTCAAAGTGAAAACACTTTCTTGGTCAAGTTTTTATCCCGAGACCCATTTCCTCATTACCTGGATCACAGCATCCTCTAAATGCTTTTTATTCTGCTGCTGCCTCTGTGAAAAACACAGGTGGGCTGAAAGCCAGGTCCTTTTTGGGTTTGGATGGAGCAAAGCACAGGAAAAGAGAGGGATCTAAAAGGTGAAAACGATAGTGCAGGTTTGCAGAGGTCAGTTTTGTCATTTCTAGTTGATTTTAATCCAGACTTGTCTGGCTGGGCAGCTGAAACTCTCCGGAGTAACAAGTGACTTACAGGTGAAAGGAAAGGCAAGAGCAATGTGACAAATTAAGTTATAAATTTGGAAGTCTCTGCTATAAATCAGTGGAGACCCAGATTGCTTAGAATGCCAGGCCCAAATAGATAATTGTCTATTAGGTGGCAGATGGCTCACTGGTGAGAACAAAATCTGAAATTATGGATCTATTTCCATAATTTTTTGTGGTTCCGGTGCCATTTTTCAAATGCAAAATGGCACAATGTTAACACTGATGTATTGTGATGTGTCAGGACCAGAATCCATAAAATATTCACTTCTAATCCTGGTGGCTCATCAGAAATGGGCCTGGAACACCTCACCTCACACATTCCCCTCCCTCCTGCACCTCCATCCCTTCCCTTCCAGATGGAATTTGGAATCTCTGCTCAGAGGATGTGGAGCCTCCACTTTCAGGACCTTGCTGCATCCCTCCTCAGCTGCTTTGGAAGCTGAGGTGCTAAATTTGGACTGGAGAGGCAGCTGCAGGGAGCCAGAACGGGCAGAGTGGTGCAGATGCTTTTTTGGCTCTTCACCTTTTCCAGTTGCTGCTTTTTGGAGCCGTCAGTGGAGGGAGGCAAGCTCTGGGATGCTGGGAGATGAAAGGCTGCCACGTTCTGCATCCTGCCTCCCAAATCTGCAGGGTTTGAAGGCAGCCAGCTCAGTGTGCTCCACCTAAAGGGAGCCTGGCAGCTCGGTGAGGCAGCGCTGCCATCCCCTGATGATCGGCAGAGTTTGGGACAGAAATTTGTGCTGGGGAACTTCTCCCAGCAGTGTGAGAAAGGCAGCTGAAGTGGCTGGAGAGGCAGATGAGGGATGCAGTGTTGGCTCCATCAGCACTTGGAGCCCTGGGGGAAGTGGGGCACTTTGGGGAGCCTCAGGCTGTCCCTCCTTGATGAGGAGACAGGAAAAGAGGAGATTTGCGCTGTGGGAGATGTGGCTGTTGGAGGCTGAGGGGAATGGCTGGTTTTCCATGCCCTCCCTGGGATGGGGTGTCTGCAGGCTCTGGGTCCCAGGGAGCTGTGCCAGCACAGCTGGGTTCACCCTGGACCTTCTGCAGTGGAGGGGTTAAGGAAGTTGAGGGAAGGAAATAAATTAAAATGTCATACTCAGCTTAAAATGAAGCCGGGCCAGGATTACAGCGTCAGGAGTTTTAGGGGACAAAACAGAGTCATTTCCACATCCTCTGCGTGTCCAGGCTCCCTGTGTGCCAGGAGGGTGGGTCCCCCTTCCCCAGCCCCGATTGAGGGGGGCCCAGGAGGTGCCTGGCTCCTTCCTTTTGGTGCAGGAGCCCTGCTGTGGGCACGCTGCCTTGACAAACAGCATCCTTCCTGCTGCCAGCTTCAGCAGCAAGCTCTGACACATCCAACTGCTCTGCACTGCCCAGAGAGAGGCCAGAGCTCCTCAAAGATTCACCCTGTTGTGTTCATGGAGAGTGAGAGCTTCCCATTTAGAACCTGCTGCCACTGGAAAAAAAAACAACAAAACAAACCAAAAAGAGATTTGACCATGGAAAGTGAACACCCTGAGTCATATGCCTGGGACATGTTTGAGTGCATTTTGTGGAGGGTTTTTTCCCCCTCCTTGGGTCATTATTTAGTTTCCTCAGCAGAGCTCTCCACTGACTAATTCATCCCACACCGAGTTTTTAAACCCCAAATTGCCTTTATTTGTTTGTCCAGCATTCCATCTCCTGGTGGTGTTGGAGCCTGAGTGTTAGCAATCAGTTCAGCAAATGTTTATCCTCCTCCATCTGAACAGCTCCAGGAAACTTTACTTTGGAAGCTCGATGTTTAAAAAGGAGAGGGGAATCTGGGGATGTGGCTTTTTGCTAATTAAAGAGGATACCGCCAGGGGCTTGTGATGTTGGGTTTGTGAAACACACAGCTGGAGGGAAGAGCAAGAGCTGAGATGACAGGAGGAATTTCAGCCCAAGGTAACCTGATGATTCTGATCCTGAAACAGAGCGGCCAGGAGCGCTCTGTGGAGGAAGGGTTTCGTTTAAACTGTCATTTTCCCTCAAAAGTCTGGTCTGAGGGAAGCGTTTCAGCGCTCTCTTATCTTTGTTGGAGAACATGGCTGATTCTCTGAGGCCCCTTCTTCCCCTTTGTTATCCTTTTCTGCCAGGGATTGAATCAAAGGATGTTCAGGTCAGTGCGATGCTGGGGCTGGAGCTGCTCAGGGCCAGGCTGGGGGGGTAGAAAAGGCAGCTTTTTCCAACTCCTTGGAAGCTGACAAGTCCCAGTCTCTCCCAGGTGAAGAAAGGACACTTGCTTGTTTAATTTTTCCTCCCAGAGGGGCAGGAGGACAGAAGAGGCTGCGCTGGGATGTGTGTGTGTGTGTGTTGGAACTTGCACAAGCACTGCCCTGCAGCCCTCAGGGTGCTGGGCCTGGGCAGGACAGCTCAAACATCCCAAAAGGAATTGTTTGAGTTGGAAGGGGTTGCTCAGAAATCACCCAGCCCCTGTGCAGAGCTCTCTGAAGAAAGCACTGTGGAGTTCTGATGGAAGATAACAAAATGTCATGGATTTGGTCTTTGTGAATGTATTCTGTCAATTAACAGAATGAAAACCTCTGTGCAGTCCCTAAGATCACTTTTTCCCTGTACTTAGTCACAGATCAGCTTTGGCCTTACATTCTTAGCCCATTTTAACAAGCATTCTGAAATACTGCTGCTCTCTGAAAAAGGTTGGAAATTCAGAGATGGAGACAGCTTTCTACAAACCCCACGTGGTTTGCAGGGCCAAGGTGAAACGTGGGCTTTTGGTGGGAGATGTGCCAGGTTCTTCCCCAGAAATGAGGAGCTGGAGACTCACCCCACCTCTGGATGCAGCCCCACTCCTCGTGTTCAGTGGGAATTAAGATTTTACAATTAACGGACCACGGGTTTAGCAGTGAGTGGGAAACTGCCACAGATTCCCAGAGCTCAGCTTTGGAAACTCTCCCTTCTGCTGACTGTTCTCACTGCCTTTTCCCCTCCCAGATGATGAAGTTTGCCTGGGATAACTACAAGCAGTACGCAATGGGGAAGAACGAGCTGCGCCCGCTGACCAAGAACGGCCACATCGGGAACATGTTCGGTGAGTGGGGCTCAGCTGGCTGCAATTCCACTTTTCCTGAGCTTTGGAATTCACATGGCCAGGGCAGGGAGGTGTCTGTCACAGCTTTGACCTCGTCCCTTGCTGTTGGTGAGATGCAAGGCTTTGAGTCCGTGTGCTGTGGTGTCCTCATCCCTTCAGGCAGCTCCCTGTGCACAGCCAGCACCAAATGTGCTTGGCAGGGTGCTAAAATGAAAGTGTCTTTATTAAAACATGAAGCCAGCCCAGAGCTGACAATGCTGCTATTTGTCTGGGCTTGTAGGCTTGAGGACCTGACCAAATTGAGCATCTTCTCTCTCGTTTTTCCACTGTTGAGCAAGATGTGAATTCCATGAAATATTGAGTGAATCAATATTAAAAGCTCTTTATACTCTGTGCTAACTGGCTTGTATAATTTTACTCTTTAGCAGATTACCTTTTTTTTATGTGAGCCACTTCCAGTGCTATTCCCCTGCTCATTCTGGTGGGATACTTGTTGTGGGTTTGGGGTATTTGTTGGCTTTTGGGGATATAAATTGTCCTTTTGCTGCTCTGCCCTCAGAGCATTTCCCTGTTTGGCTCCCTGAGCTCCTGCCTGTGCCATGAGGAGCCCTTCCTTTCCCTTCCCATCCCTGGGGAATTCCTGCTGTGCAGAGGGCTCTGGGCTCCTTTCCAAGGGATCTGTGCATAGATTATCTCCTGGAGCTCTCACCCAGCTCGGGGCAGAGCAGAGTTCCACCATGGGCTGGTTGCCTCAGTGCAGAGGGTGGGACTGAGGCTTTGCAGAACACTCCCATCCTGTTTTGCACTCTGTAGGTGCCCAGGTCCTTCTCCACGTCAGCTCCAGGACCTGGGGGGGAACTTCCAGCCTTTTGCTTTGTGTGGACCCCAGCCCTAATCCTGCTCAGCTTTGGGGGCTGAGGTGTGGGGAAGGGAAATGTGAAGGTGGAAATGGCATCAGGTGTCTCTGACACCATCAGCCTGGAGAAGAGAAGGTTTGGGGTGACCTGATTGTGGCCTTCCAGGACCTGAAGGGAGGACAAGAAAGATGGAGAGACCATTTACAAGGGTCTGGAGTGACAGGAGTGGCTTCAAAGGGACACAGAGCAGGCTTAGATGGGACATCAGGGACAGGTTCTTTGCTGTGGGAGTGGTGAGGGCACATCTGACTCACGGCTGGCTGTGCAGGGCTGGGCTGCAAGGAAGCCCCATTAACCCCATTAACCCCATTAACCCGGGGATTGAGGCTCAGGGAAGGAGCTTTGGGATTGTCACAGGCTGGCTGTGAGCAGCCACTGCCCCTGGCCAGCCCCTCTCTGCCAGGAGCACTGATTTGGGTGGCTTTTGCTCTTTCAACCCCCTCCAGCAACAGCCAGGTTCTTGACTTGAGGATCTGCGTGGAGTTCAGAGCAAGCTGAAGCATTTTGCTGCTCTTCCACTCTGGCAAGCTTGTCAAAATTTCTCAAGGAGTGTGCCAGTAAACAGACAAAAATATTGAAAGCTTTAAAATGCATTTATCCTGCTAAAACAATTGACAGTACTTATGCTTGTTTGCAGTGTGCCTGTGAGCACTCTCAAGAAAAATGCTTTGGAGCACGAGGATTTGCAGACAATTGCAGAAAAGCAGCTACATGCTACATTTCAGCCTTTTAATAGGCTTTTCCTCCTCCTAGCTGTGCCTCTAAAGGAGGGCAGCATCAGGCAATCCCTTGGTGCAGCCCTCTGTCCCTCTGGCCTTCGGGGACTCTGAGAAACGAGGACAGGGCACTGTGGCCCTGCATTGCTGCCCATTCCCCCTCCTGCCACATCAATGCCTTTTTATCCCAAACTCCAGATGGAAAGGAGGCAAACTGGGTGCTCTCCAGGCTGGAAATGTCAATATTAAGCTGAGATTTCTCCGCAGCTGCTTCCACGTGGGAGGGGAGGAACCTCTTTGGGGCTATTTTCGAGTGTGTTTGCATGCATGGGAAGCAATCAAGTTCCTGAAGGGTGATACATACGTTTTGCTGTTGTGGATGTGCTGCTGCTCACTTGGAGCCTCCAGTTTGGCAGCCTCAGCCTGGGGGGAGCTGCTCTGGATCAAATATTCCCTCTAGTTCAAGTAGAAATAAAAATGAGCTCTGAATTCTGCTCCTAGAGAGTGTCCTGCTTCTCCTGACAGCCAGGAGAGAGCATCCCTCCCCACTTTCCTGCCCAGGTAGGAAAACTTGGATCCCCAGCCTCATTAATCTCTCCAGAGATCCAACCTTGCCACTTCCCAGGTGTTTTCCAGCATTTCCCCTCTCCTGGACTGTGATCTGGAGACTGGTCTCACGTTCCTGCTGGTGCTTGGTGTTCTCCAGCTCCTGTTTCTCTCATCAAGCCTCTCCCACGTTTCTGGCCGGAGTTTATTTGCACAGAACTCCTGTGATTGCTGTCATTTACAATCACTGCAGCTCGAGAGCCCTTTCCTTAAACCCACAAGCTGTGCTCCTTTCATCAGCATTAATTATTCATCAGTGATGCTTGTGATAAGAAGTGCCACGCTGAACAGCCCAGCCCGTGCCCTCCAGTGGGGTAAACACGGTTTAGGCTTTCAGATGTGGGATGATTTCCCTGGAATTGGTGCCATGGGAGCGGGCACGGTGCCCCACAGAGGGTGGGGGGTGATCTCTGCAGGAACAAACCCCAAATCACGAGGTTCCAGAGGCCCCAGGTGCTCCTAAAGGCTGCACAGCTGGGGGGTTCAGGGTTGTCTGCAGGATTTCTCAAGGAAGAGCTGCAGGATGCCAGGCACTGATCAATCCAGGCCCCAAACGAGCTGCTTTAGGAACATTTCAGGAAAATGGCACAGCTGAGCTTGAGGCTGAGGCTGAGACTGGAGATCTGCAGGTACAAATTCTGCTCCCAGTGCTGATGCAGTTATTTTAACCCTTCTCAACCACCTCAGCACTGCTGCCTTGGGTGCTGTAGGGATGAAATTCAGCGATGTTTGCAGAGCTTGGCTCCCTGGGCTGCTGGAGAGGGCAGCAGCTCTGTGTCTCACAGCCCCTGAAATGCACCTGTCACCGTGAGCTCCAGAGCACTGCATTATTATTCTGCCCGCTCCCCAGCTCTGTCAGAGCCACTTATTTTTCTGACAAAATGTTTTTAAAATCCTGATAGCTTTACAGAGCTTCTGTGGCTACGGGAGAGTGAGCTGGCATCTCGTTCTGCTCGTGCATCAGCTGAATTGTCAGTTACATTTTGATTGCACAGTCTTTTAACAATGATAAGGTGAGAAGCCTGATTTTCAGATATCTCTTGAAGTGTGCAGTGCTGGCAGAAGGAGAATCTTTCTTTGACTTATACCCTGAGCCAATTTGCTCTGAAATCAGTGACAGCAAGTAAATATGGAACCCTGCTGTGCTGTTAGGCGTTTCTCACCACCTAAATGCACGTTGGTTTATTAATTTTAGTTCAAAAATAGCAAGCCTTAACCAGGTTTCTCCCCTTTTTTCCTCTTTCCCCACTCGATATCGTGCCTGAAATCATGAATTGCCTCGTTGCAGCCATTGCTCCTCTCAGCATATGCTGAATTTCTGCAGCGTGGCGAGGCTGTGTGGCTTCAGCTGATGGCAGTCCAAGTGACAACTGTCACAGCCAGGACACTGCCAGGCCAGCAGCAGGGGTGGCACAGCTCTGCCAGCAGCTGGACTGAAAGGACAGCAGGTGTTTACACCTCATCCTGCAGCAGGGCTCTCGTCTTGCTCCACGTTTGCCTGCCTGGTGACCGGGCCCAGGGTGGAGAAATTCCTGGAAAATCCGTGGCTGTGTTTGTGTGCTGGGCTCAGACTTTGGCCTGAGCTGTTTGCTTTGAGGACAGGAGGTCACTGGCCTCAGCTGCCTGGAAATGGGGCTGCTTTGGCTCTAAGGATAAAAAAAGGGGATGAAATGGCTGGGGAAGAAAAGCAGTGACCGCAGGGATATGTCCAGAGAGGCCTCTGGAAAGGACCCAGCTGCTTGTCCTGAGGTCCAGAACCTTGAGGTTGTTCTGCCTGGCAAATCCCAGCAGACTTGGTCTCTGCCCTGTGGCACTGTGACCTGCCAGGCTCAGATCTGGATGGAGATTCCAGGAATCCCACTGGAAATCTCAGGATTTAACACCCCCAAGCTCCTGTGACAGCAGCTTTTAACAGCAGCAGCTCTGGGGCTGCCAGCTCAGCAGCTGGACCCCAAAATCTCCAATGCCAGGGTTAGTGCCCCCAGTCTGGCCAGCTGAGCCAAACGTTTCCCAAAGAGAACATTTGGGGAGCAAATTTGGGGAACAAATCCCAAACATTTCCCTGGATGCTTCCTTCATCCAGGATTTAGCAGGCAGCAAACACACCCAGCTCACTTAGAAGCAACAGGAGTTGGTCTGTGAATATGTAACAGAGATAATTGAATGAAAATATTAATTCAGCAACATCCCAGCTACCAGAAGAGAAATGGGAGCCTCCAATTGTGCAATCACTTACTGCACCTTTTCTCTTCTGTCTCTGGGTCTCTTTCCCTGTGATCACAAAATTGCAAAACCCTGGAGAGTCCTTTTATGTGATTAAAATAATAATAATAATAATAATGGCCCTCTTAATTTCTATGCTGAATTATGCCTGCTGCCTATTGCACATGACATTGGATGCTTGGCTCCGTGGGCTCTTTAAGGAGAAAAATACCTTGTAATGAAGATGTTGCTGGAACTCTGTTGCTCCCTGGCATCATCATCTTTTTTGTCTTTTTCACGTGTGATGTTCCCCAGATGGATCATTTTCAGGAGGGCATTTTGAGTTGACTTTGGCTTTTGATGTCAGTGAAATCTGCAGCAACAAACTTATTTCCTGGCAGCAGGAAGCAGGGAATCAGGATGTCCTCCAAATCCCAAACTCGCGTGTTGGAGCCGACATTAATCCCTGTTGTGGGGTTTTGTCCCTGTTTTGAGATCACTCCCAAGCTAATTAATCCTTCAGGAGATCTGTCCCCACTCCACTCTCACCTTGGGTCCT